GAGCTCAGACATTCGGGAGGGACTCGGAGTAGAACCGCTGCTTCTCCAGATCGAAAGGAGTCAGTTGAGGTGTTTCGGGCATCTGGTCAGGATGCCTCCTAGATGCCTCCCTGGGGAGGTGTTTCGGGCATGTCCTGCCGGCAGGAGGCCCCCGGGTCGACCCAGGACACATTGGAGAGGTTACATCTCCAATCTGGTCCGGGAACGCCTTGGGGTCCTGCCGGAGGAGCTGGTGGAGGTGGCCGGGGAGAGAACGGTCTGGAGCTCCCTAGTTGGGATGCTGCCCCAGCGACCTGGACCCGGATAAGCAGAGGAAGACGAAGACGACGACGATAAAACTGCATGGACACGTAAAGAGTCAGAGGCATATATTAAACACGTCTCTCATCAAAAATGAACAAAATGATGTGTGATTGTCTTATAACTTGGTCAAATGTGACTGATTTTACATAAACAGCTCTCTGTTGCACCTCTGCTCTGTTCCTCGTCAAACATCTTATCTAAAACAAGGAGAACAAGTATTTTTGTAACGGTCCAATTAAAACACTTACCCTAAAACTCTGAAATTTCAAAGACAACCTGCAAAAAATGCCACTAAAACCCAAAGCTTGATTGTATAAAAGAAAAAACAAACTGAGCAGTAAACAAATGTAGGGAAAGCTGGTTAATTTTAAGGACCTCAATCATGATGGCAACTACAGAAAATGATGTAACCACATTACATTTATGACATTAGGGGGATTTTTTAGTCTGATCTTAGTGAAAAACACCTTATTGTTCAGCGATAAAGCTGCAGAATAACAAGTTAGGTTTGCTTTTGATAAATGACCCACACTTGTATTGTGCCTTTCTGAGTCAGAGGACTCCAAAGCGCTTTACACTCCAGTGTATCATTCATCCATTCACACCCTGGTGGGGATGAGCTACATTATAGCCACAGCTGCCCTGGGGCGCACTGACAGAGGTGAAGCTTTCCAAGCACAGGTGCCACCGGTCTATATGACCACTACTAGCAGGCAAGGTGGGTTAAGTCTTGCACAAGGACACAACAGCAGCATTCTCTGGCAGGAGCCAGGATCAAACCTGCAACCTTCTGATTACTGGATAACCCACTCTACCTCCTGAGGTGCTGCTGCCCCAAGCAGTGTGCCACAGACATGCGTCCCGTCATGAACGCGTTAGCAAAGGCACGGCAACAAAGATTGCTGTAGGTTTTAAAAGTAAAATTGTAAAAGAGTGAGACACCCTATGAGTAATGCCGTTTCAGAGCTGTTTCCTGTTAGGAAATGTCTGCTCGGTGTCATAACAAGAAACACCAGTTTAATATCTGAATCAGTGATTTGTTTTAAATTTTTCTGAAGAAAAGTCTTAAGAAGAAATGTAAGAGCAGAAGTGGGATTGTCTGAGACTAGGGGAATTCTAAAGACTTCTTTAAACTCAGGACTTTCAGCAAAGCCTGAGCTGACATGTTTCCTAAAGAGTGAATTGCACAAGTGTGAGGGGTGAAAAAAATAATAAAGGAAGTGAGGAATAACCCTGGTGAGTTAATGTCACCCTTTTCAAATGCCTCCTGTCACAGCTGCACCACTATGATACCAGATCATTAATTTATTACCATAATCCCGTAATTATTTTTATGTGACATTTTGGAGCACCGCAGGTTGTAAACATGAGATAAGACCAGGGTGTTACCTCCTGGCTGCCTAAAGACCAAACGCCACCCAGTACCACACTTTCCTTTGATCATTCTGCAATTCTAGTAGAAATTTATTTTATCTCCATGTTTGTTTTGATAATCATGATTTTCAAAAAAAGTGAGACAAAATGTAGTTCAGTTTTAGGAACTTTCCTATACATTTGTGATAGCGTGGCAGAACATATAGGACACATTCTACTGTGCAGAAAAATATTAAATATTTTTGAAATAAATAAATAAATAAAATAAAAAAACAAGCAGTGGATCTACCTTTTTCCAGTGTGGACGAGTAGCAGAGGAAGTAGCTTTTCTGCGTGTCCTAGTGGCTTTGGATTGTGAGTTGTTCTCTGAGCCGTGGTTTCACTCCTCCTTTGAGCAGAGATGCTGCTGCTCTGGGAGGAGAGGCGTAGAGCTGAAGGATGAGTGGAGAGCGGCTGAGTGGGTGGGAGAGAGAACCCAGGGGTGGGAGTGGAGAAGATGGAGTAGTAGTTTTATTAAAGGAACAGAGCGGGGATTTTGTGCTGCCATGTGAAATAAATAATCCAGATTAGCTGCATATTTAGCTAATCAACCAACAAAATAACTGTTTTGTCTAAAAAGTAACTAAATATGATCTCAGTTCTGCTTCATGTCATAATTTGATTGAAAATGAGTAAATAGGAGATCAACAAAGCAGCTTATTATAAAATCCTTGGATGGAGCCATTAAGCGTCTGTAGAACTCAGCTAGATAATGTAATATAGATTTTTATGTAACACTTTATATTAGGGTTCCTTTATTAATATTATCATTATTAACTATTAAGTGTAATCCTTAAGGTTAGGACAAAGGGCCGGGGGGAGGGGGGGGGGGGGGGTCTTCTCAGTAATGCATTACATAATATGGTTAAGCAGTTAATACTTTGTTTAATAGTTTATTAATGCTTAATAATGCACTAAGTAACATTAATAAAAGAACCATTATTGTAAAGTGTTACCAATTTTTCTAACTCAAGAGAAACAGTCCCATTAGTCATCATCTCACACTGGTGAAATTACCAGTGGCGCCCCTAAGGAGTAGCCAGTCTTATTGCTGGCCATCCCAGAGGAGACCAATGTTCTTTAATTAAAGAGCAACTAAACCCCCAAATAAATATTTTTTTGCTTATAAACTGTATAATTGGGTCTTTACAAATGCAATCTTTCTGTTTCTGTGCATTCTTTGACATGTTTGTGTAAACTTGATTAAAACTAGAATCTAGGTCTAAAAACGTCTTAGGTCTGCCCCCCGTGGCAGAACAGCAGCTACTGCATTTTAAACTTGTGATTGACTGGGGCTGGAACAATTTCACGTCATCGGTACAGTCTCCTCCTACTCCCCCTCCCTCCCAGGATGGAAATTCCCCACACTTGGCCATGCCACTCCGTGCCTCCTGGCAACGCCCACTTTCATGGCATTTTTCAAAACTTGACAAGGGGTGGAGTTACATTTTCTGATGGTGTGCAGTCCATCTTTAATCATATTAATTGAACATAGGAGACGCAGGGAAGCGAAAGGTTCCATGCCCCCCGCTCTAACGGAAGATGCACAGAGGCTAAATGTTCTGTGCGCACCCACCCTGCCTGGAAACATTTCTAGAGGAAACACTGAAATTTATATTATTTAATCAGACATAAATGTAAAACCCAACAAAAAATATACAATTAATGACAAAAAAAATCTGATTTTAAAAAGTATCTATGTCTCTCTTGCTCACCATTTCCAAAACAAGTTTAAATCTCTTAGTTTTTGTGAAAAACTTTCTTCAAATTTGAGGTAAGTATGCTGGATAGAGGTGGGAAAAATGATCGATTCTAAGATGCATCGCGATTCGGTCATGCATGATTTTGCATGGATGCAGCAATGTGACATAATGAGATTTTCTCCCTATGTCTATGTCGATGTTCTGGACGTGCGAGGACAATAAAGTCTTGAGGTTTTACGACTACTTCCAGGGGCAGAGTTGCAATGACATGCGTGCTGTGTTTCCCTAGCGCCAATTTAAAACAGAAATGGCGGACAGGGATACAGGGCGAACATTACCAGTAATCAAAGATGCACCCGTTACATTTAAATGGGATGTCAGGGCTCATTTGGGCTTTTATAAGCGAGACGGAAAGCTTGACAAGACGCACACTGTGTGTAAGGTGTGCCACACAAAACTAAAGTACTTTGGGAATAAAACTAATATGACCAAACATTTTGAACATTTCCACCCTGCGAGGACTTCTTCAGCAATGGCCACAAAAACAGCGAGCACATCCCAGCCAACGATTGAAGAAGCGCTGACATTTTTACCGTCTGCTTCGGAGAGAGGGAAGAAGATCACCCATTCTGTTGCATGCTTTATTGCTAAGGATCTACAATCATTTTCTTTGGTAGAGAATGCCGGGTTTCGCTACCTCCTGAAGATGCTCGAGTCTCAGTACAACCTACCGACAAGAAGACACTTCACAGAAACTGCTGTGCCTGCATTGTACAACGAAACCAAAGCCCAGGTAATGGAATCAATGAGTAAAGTGATTCATGGACGTCAACTGCAACGAAGTCGCACGTAACAATAACAGCACATTATAAGCAACTGCTTTTATTAAGTAATGAAAAATGTGTGAAGAATCGTGATGCATTTCAGACTCAACTCAAATCTTTAGGCAGATAATCGGAATCAGATCGAATCGTGAGGCAGGTAGAGTTGCACACCACTAATGCTGGATGCTTATTATTCTTCTAATGAAAAAGAATAAAAGAGCATTCAATGCATCATCACATACTAAACTCGCCCAGTTACCACAGTAACCAATCTGGCATGCCACCCCAAAATCTAGCCCCATCTGGCCACCGTTAAGAAAATTTCCTGGGGGGGGCGACACTGGAAATTACATCTCTGCATTTGACCCATCCTCATAGGGAGCGGTGAGCTGCAGCAGTGGCTGTGCATGCTCATTTGGTGGTTTAAAGCTCTCAATTTTGTTCTGGTTTTGTCGGATTCCTTTCATTGGCTGATACTAGTTGTTCTTGAAGCAGTTGCTCGTGATCCAACCTAAAAGCCAAAACCAATTCTAGCAATTACTGATTCTGCATATTCAAACAAGACAATGCAAATGCAAAACTGTAGTTGTAACTGCAAATATCTTCTAATGCTCCGTTTCTGAAAGTAAAATAAAAAAAAGCATCCTCATAAATGTTAGGGGTTATTTTTGTGTTCCGCCGGTGTTATATGGCTGTCAGAAAATACCTTAAACCTGTCTAGAAATGAGTCTACAAATAAAAATGGTCCTTTGCCATATTTCTTTTCAAAATAAAGTGACATTTATTGATTTTTACAGTATAAAGGACAGTCATTAAGCTTCCAAGCTGAATTAAAAGTTGTAGAAAATTGTACATGAAGATTTTGAGACAAGATCTGACCTTTAACAGAAAACATCTACAACAATTTTAACTCCAGGACTATAACCACAACCAAATCATGATCTACAATTATTTCAAGGTTTTGTTGAATTTGAAATTACCTATTTTAATGCAAAACGCTGTCATAAATCTTCATATCTTCTCTTTAGCTTTGCCCTTTTTGACATCTTCACTCAAACTTGATGCCCTGGGCCAGAGGCAGATCTTTGCTGTAGTTTATCGTGCACGTCGAGCGCCTCATATACTGCTTCCACGAGTCGCTGCCCGACTCCCTTCCACCACCTGTGTGCTTCTCTCCACCAAAGGCTCCTCCAATCTCAGCTCCACTTGTAGGAATATTGACATTCACAATTCCGCAGTCGGATCCTTTGGGCCCGAGCCAACGGAAGACTCTTCCCATATCTTTGGTAAAGATGCTGCTGGATAGACCCTGCTTGACTTCATTGTTCCATGCGAACGCCTCCTCTTCCGTCTTGAACTTGAGGACGTACAGGATGGGGACAAAAGTTTCGGTGTGGACGATGGGTGCGTTGTGAGCCAGTCCTGTGACGATGGTGGGTTCCACGTAGTTTCCTGGACGGTCCATCACCTTTCCTCCACAAACCACAGTGCCACCCTGCTTCTTGGCCTGCTCAACAGCAGCCAGATATTGCTCCACAGCTTGTTGGGTGTGCAGAGGGCCATAGAGGGTGCTGGGGTCCCAGGGATCTCCTATGCGAATTTGTTTGTAGGCTTTGGATATTCTCTCCACAACTGTGTCATGGATGCTTTCATGCAGCATCAGCCTCCTGGTCGTGGTGCAGCGTTGGCCAGCAGTTCCCACAGAAGCAAAGACAGCAGAGGGCACCACAAGGTTCAGATCTGCATCTTCAAATACAATGATGGCATTGTTTCCACCAAGCTCCAGGAGCTTTCGTCCAAACCTCTCCTGCACCATCATGGCCACAATCTTACCAACATGAGTGCTGCCAGTGAAAGACAACAGATCCACACGCTCATCTCTTGCCATGGCAGTGCCGATATCAGCCCCACCACAGGTCATGGAGCAGATAGCTCCTGGCAGGTTGTTCTTCTCCAGCACCTCTGCCACAATCTTGGTGACTGCAACACTTGTGAGGGGAGTAGTTGGGGCACCTTTCCAAAGACAGACGTTGCCACAGGTCAGAGCGATGGCATTGTTCCAGCCATAAACAGCCACAGGGAAGTTAAAGGCAGTGATGATGCCGACAAGACCAACTGGGTTCCACTGTTCAAGGAGAGCATGTCCTGGTCTTTCTGAAGGAAGAATGGGTCCACCAATCATTCTAGACAAACCAACAGCATAATCACAAACATCAACATACTCTTGAACTTCACCCACTCCCTCCACATAGATCTTGCCCATTTCTAGAGACACCAGACTTCCAAGCACATTGATCTTCTTTCTCAGTGCATCGCCAATCTGCCTCACAATCTCGCCTCTTTTAGGAGCTGGAATATCCGCCCACACCTTCCAAGCTTCCCTCGTCTTCTGGACCGTTTCTTCATACTCTGCCAAAGTTGCCTGAGTTACTCTGGCGATCGGCTCATTATTGGCAGGGCAGTATGATGTGACGACCTCACCGCTGCCGCCCCAGCTCCCATTGTAAACACCAGGGTTATCCTCGAACAAACCCAGCTCTTTCAGCCACGAGTATTTGGGCTGGTTGATAAGAAGGCTCGACATCGCTGCTGAAGGACGACAGTGAAGAGAAGCAAATTTATTTTTCAGAAGGAGCCTGCTGTGCCGGGCAAGAGTCAGAGTCAGACAGCGCTGCATGGATGCTGGAAAACAAAGTTAAAAATGAATTTAAATCTCGTTAGCATTCAGAAATAATCGTTGCCAGAACTCCTCTTCCAGCAAAGGTCTATTTTGCATAAACAATTAAATTATTCAAGTTTCTAAATAAAACTTCTCCATATTTATACAAAATTTACATTAAGTGATGGCAAATTTGAAATGCATTTGTCAGCTTCAAACTATTTCCTAGCATAAGAATTACACCTGCGCATAGTTACTCAACTTTTTGCGCTTGCGCAATTTATCCAACCTGTTTTAATAAAAACTGGCGTTTTCCCAGCGCTCATCAAGACTTTAGTGAATATGAACTACCATTTCAGTAAACGATAGGTTCACGATTACGCTTATGTCTGTGTTTCATATGCTCGTTTATGTTTGCACACGGTTACCTTGTCGCTAAGAGATTAATCCGTAACGTATTTCAACCGCAATGACACGCCACTGCTGCAAAGCCAGCAATTCAACAGTCTGGATTGTAGTTTAAACTCCTACAAACTAAGTCAATGTCACTAATTATCAGTTTTTCACTCACATGGATATGCACACGGCAGGGCCACGTCCAGTTCAGAGCAGGGAAGTACTTGTAGTCACTAACGGGAAGTACTTCCGCTTTACTGAATTCTGATTGGACAGTAGTTCCTACGCTCGGTGGCGCCTGCTTTGTTATAGATCTATGCTAACACATTTCTTTTGTTGTTTTTAACCGCTTTGCGATTGTGTATCTACTCTATTAATTTACAAGTGCTGCTGTGATACCTCAGAAAATGAGTGGCGGAGTTTATGGAGGCGGTGAGTGGGACCTCGTGATTTAAGTAATATTTAGACAACGATGAGCCGTCTTTTAGCATTAGCCAGCTTTGTAGTCTGCCAAGAATGCTAGCTAGGCTAACTGTTAGCTTAACGATAAACCAGAGACGCGTTTTTCGTTGCATGTCTAATGTCACATGTTGATGGGTATTTCAGATTTGTTATTAATGTCAGCCCTTTGGGGATTTGTTGTAGCTTATTTTAGGGTAGAGTCACGTTGTAGAGCGGCAATTAAGAAGGAAATGAATGAAAGTCGGATGACACAGTTAAAACCATTCAGCTTCTTTCTGATGTTTATGTTGCTCATGACAACATTGTTGTTCACTGACATTACTAGCCATTTGTGTCGGTGTAAATCAGAACTTATGTTCGACTTTAAAGTATTTATTTACATTGTAACATCACACGATTCTGTAAATGTCAATGTCAACGATATGAAAAAATTATAGAAAATTATTTGAACTAACTTGACATAATACATATGTTTTTTTTCTAATGTGGGTTTTGAAAATACTCTTGTCGTTGATATTTATACCTCTAATATGTGGATAATTTCAAAAATGAGAATATGTAAGGTAATTTCTTCTATACCATTTTGTCCTATTGCATATGTTATAACAAATAATTTTACATATGATTGCTGCAGAAAAATGTTTATTTTATCGCTTGTGAACATTTATGTGGTTATATACTATATTTTGAAACCGATCTGCAAGACTGTTATAATTATGCAGGGACAATGCTGTTAAACAATGTTAACAATAAAAAGAAAAGAAAATCCTATGTTAGGGGTATGCATTTCTTATTACGGTGGCACAGGAGTTAAGTGCTCGCCCCGTAATCAGAAGGTTGCAGGTTCGAGTACCGCTCAGTCTGTCGCTGTCGTTGTGTCCTTGGGCAAGACACTTAACCCACGTTGCCTGCTGGTGGTGGTCGGAGGGACCGGTGGCGCCAGTGCTCGGCAGCCTCGCCTCTGTCAGTGCGCCCCAGGGCAGCTGTGGCTACATCGTAGCTCATCCCCACCAGTGTGTGAATGTGTGTGTGAATGGGTGAATGACTGATTGTGTTGTAAAGCGCCTTGGGGAGTTCCAGGACTCTAGAAGGCGCTATATCAAATACAGGCCATTTACCATTTACCATTGTTATAGAAGTGGTGTTTTTTTAAGATATTAATGTAAAATAAACTTCAAATTCTTGTTTAGGTCTGTATTTGTAATTTTCATTTTGTGCTATTTGTCTTTGGTGCTTAATAAATGTTTGACATCATTTTCAGAGAAACATATTGTTTTCAGGACTATTAGTTTGTACTAATTTTTAATAGTAGAAAAATGTTTAGCAGCAGAAGATGTATAATAAACAGATAAATGTATAGCAACAAGTAACCTATTGACTGTCAAACGTTTTTTTTGTTTTTGTTTTGCGAAAATGCCTTACAGGTAGGTCTTCTGTGTATTTTTTTTATCAAAACATTGGCTTTAATATTCAGATACATGTTAATCCACACCCTTGTCTTGTTTCTGTAGATGAGGTAGGAGCTTTGGTGTTTGACATAGGCTCTTATTCTGTAAGAGCTGGCTATGCAGGAGAAGATTGTCCCAAGGTAGGTGGATCACTCAAATGACCTGATTAAGTGTGTACCTTTTCTTCCTCTGAGCATTTTCATCTTCCCTCTGGGAGCACATGGATGTCAGAAAATGTGGGTTAGCACCCAGGAGACTGACTGCATTAATTGAGTTCAGATAATTTCAGAACACTTCATTTGATTTTGGGAATCAAGTGCCAGATACTCTTTGCTCCTATCACAGTATATCCTCCCTAAAATATCAGAAAATTCTAAATCTTTTATGATGAACTGGTCATAGCATGCTCAGTTTATGACAAAACACTTCTGCCATAATTGGTCCTGATTTTTCTTTTATGGGCCTCTTCAGTGTTTTGCTAATTGCCCGCTACTGACTTCATACATACATTTTATTCATCTGTGCTAGTTTTTTGTTTGTACCAGTGGTCTAAAAGGATACCGTTTAAAATCCAGCAAGTCTGCTGCAGAGACAGATTAAGCTGATACATTTGATAAAATTGATAACCGTCCTTGTTGCTTTATTTTAGAATGCAAAGGCAGCTTTTTTTTAAGCTAATTGAAATCAGGTACTTTACAGAGTTTTGTGGTTGTATGATTTCATAAGTCAGGCAAGTCTGTTGTTACACACCTCTGTGTTTCAGAAAAGTGGGAAGTTTTCATTGACTGTGTGTGATGTTAATGAGATTTACAAATTTGTGTTGAACTAGAATTGTTTTGATGCTCTCGTGAAGCTGATATTTGTTGTGTAGCCGTGTGTATTGACCGGTGTTTCGTTTGGATCAGGCGGACTTCCCCACAGTGATAGGTGTGACTCTTGACCGGGAGGATGGCAGCACGCCTATGGAGACGGATGGCGACAAGGGCAAGCAGAGTAGCACCACCTACTACATCGACACAAATCAGCTGAGGGTTCCCAGAGAGAGCATGGAGGTCATGTCTCCACTAAAGAATGGCATGAGTGAGTACTCGATTGATGTTAAGCTCTTACAGTAGTTGTAAATGTCAGAAATCACAGATGCAGAACTCTTTCCAGTAAAACCGACTGAAAGCAATGGTCTAACTTTATGAGTGTTTATTTGCTGAATATAATTTTGGGACGTTGATCCAGGTTTTTATACGAGTCGGTGACGTAGGTTTGGCTGAGTATTCTGAATTCATTCTGCTTGGTCCATATTTATAAATAGACTATTTTAGTATGAATGCCGACCTTGTAGGTAAGCTCGCCACCAACCTGACTGATGTATGGATGACTGCTGTTCATCGTGAATATTGATGAGATCATTTGAAGCCACAGATAACTCATTATCATAATCTCTGCCATCTAAGTGCCTTCTAACATAAGTTCAAGCCCTTCTTGTTTTTAATTTTCCTCGGTATATCTCTACAAATTCCCATGTTTTTCTTTTTGACGCATGCACTGATTCCAGACAAATTAGTGCATGCGTCAAACGTCTACCGCCAAATGTGGGTTTAATGCCGACAGCTGTTCTTTGTACTTAAGAAAAATTAACCCTCACTAAAGAGTAATGTCACACTAAAAAGACTCATTATTGGATCTTATACCCCCATCAGATTTTTTTATTATTATTATTTTTATGTCAAGCAGATGTGCAGCTTGTTTTATCAGTGTGGTACTGGTGACAGCTGATGTGAAAGTGAGTGATAAAGAAAGAGTCCTGATGCACCAAGCTAGCTGTTGATGCTCATCAGTATCTGGTCCAGTGTAGGCTGGTTGTGCAGCTATTTAGAGACAAGTGCAGCACCCATTTTAATTGCAGCAGAACAGCACAATGGGACCACAGGGTCCCACAGAGGGCTGACCTGGAACGCTGGTGCCTTGAGTGCAAATTATTACCTAAAAAAATGTCATTGCTCTAAATCTTTTAACATAATCCTGGCTGGCTGGGCCAGATGAATGGTGGTGAAAGATGAAGTGGTTTTAATACTACGATCTGATGGATGTTGAACATAAGTTTGTCGGCAGATCTGTGTAAATAATTTTCACACACGTTTTTTCCCCAATTTGCGCAGAAAATTGAAATGGCTGTTAATTAATTTTTTCTTGCTTACCTTTAGTTGAGGACTGGGACAGTTTTCAGGCCATTTTGGATCACACATACAAGATGCATTTCAAGTCGGAACCCAGCCTGCATCCTGTGCTCATGTCAGAAGCATCTGTGAGTTTGCTCTTCTTTTATGAGTTTAAAGGTGTGGAAGTCTGAAAAACGATTTTTTTAATGATTATTTCTGATTTTAATTGGCCAATCTGGGTTTTTCATGCAGGCTGAACATGAAAATAGTCTCTTACACCTACCTCCTGCATTAGCTGCTGATAGAAAATAGACAGTGAAGATCTAGGATTTGAAAAGCCTGACAGATCTATGTCACACTGTCACTTAACATTGATGGACTCACCCATCTTGACTCACGACAGGGAAGGCTGTTGTTTGTTTTGCATCCAGGAAACAGCAGACAACATCCCGACAAGCAGAAGCTAACTGTTAGCATTACCAACACCACCAAGGCTTGTGTTATTTGTGGAGATAAAACATCATCGTTGCTGTTATCCAATCCGAAGCGAAATGTCCAAATATCAGGAAATAAGACTCCAAAACCTTTTGTGTTATGCCACTCTCTGCTGCAGCAGACTTGTCCCTGCTGATCCAAGTGAACCAAGTTCAACTTGCAAGGCAACCACACCTTTAAACCATATATAGTCTAGGTTTTTCTGTTGTTGACCTTTGACATATTCTGTGCTTTAGCTGGCATGTGCAGGATACGGGGCAAAAAATGTTGTGTCCTGTGCTGCTGCTGCCTTTTTGTTTTGGTGTATGTGATGCTGACAGTTTATAACGAGTTGGCTAACAGGTGTTTTGTGTTTGCAGTGGAACACACGGGCGAAACGAGAGAAACTTACAGAGCTGATGTTTGAACATTACAACATTCCTGCCTTCTTCCTCTGTAAATCAGCTGTTCTGTCTGCGTATCCTTCATCGTTTTTCAGCCTGAGAGCTTTAATTTCCTAATCAGCACTCAAATTCCTTCAGATTTGACTATAACAGTTCTGCCTGAACACTGCAGTGCTTTATGCGCTGATTTGTTGAACCCTTTGTTTCCTTTACTTTGAAAATCCAAGCTTTGCCAATGGACGGTCGACAGGTCTGGTTCTGGACAGTGGAGCCACACACACCACAGCAATTCCAGTGCATGATGGTTATGTCTTGCAGCAAGGTGAGAACTTGTTATTGTAACGTGTTCATGTACAGAAACAAAACAGCTTTTTTATGGGCTTTTGCTTGTAAATCAAGGAATAAAAACACTAAGGATGTATATTTGAGGTGCTTTATTGCATTTTGTTGCCATCTGCTGGTTAGAGAACTTATTTTGGTCATTTGATGCTTCTGCCGATTTTACAAAGTTGTATTTGTGATCCCAGGCATTGTCAAATCGCCTCTGGCTGGTGACTTTATGAGTATGCAGTGCAGAGAGTTATTTCAAGAGTTAAGTGTGGAAATAATTCCTCCGTACATGATTGCATCAAAGGTAAATGAGCAAAGCACACGTTTAGAGAACTTTTGCTTTTTATTAGAAATATTGTACATGTCTAACTTTGCTGATCCAATACTTGTAACTAAATTATAGGATGCAGTGCGGGAAGGATCTCCAGCCAGCTGGAAGAAAAAAGAAAAACTACCTCAAGTAACTCGCTCGTGGCACAACTACATGTGTAATGTGAGCTGGTTGGTTCTGCAGCACAGTGATGACTTCTTTGGTTGGCTCGAATCTAAAGTGTTTTTTTTTCTGCTTTGGCTTACGTAGTGTGTAATCCAGGACTTTCAGGCATCAGTGCTGCAGGTTTCAGACTCTCCGTATGATGAACAGTGAGTAGCTTTACGTTAATTTGAACTTTATTCCAACAAAATGCTAATAAATTCCCACATAATTATTGCATTTGTTATAATGAAACCGTAGAATGTCATAGCCATTCGCTAAAGTAATCGTCTAACAAGTTACCAACTTCTTGTTCATCAGAGTTGCCGCCCAAATGCCCACAGTGCACTACGAGCTGCCCAATGGCTACAACTGTGACTTTGGTGCTGAGAGGTTAAAGATCCCAGAGGGGCTATTTGATCCTTCCAACGCCAAGGTTTGTACTCTGTCATACGTCATTAACTGCCGATTTATTTTAGCAAATAACAGCGTTAGCAGTCGTGGTGGCTAAGCACACTACGTCTTCACAGCCTTGGCAAGTTTAAAGAAAACTCCTTTTTTTAGATAATAGATTTTTGTTGCGACTTTCAGGGCCTGTCTGGGAACACCATGTTAGGAGTTGGTCACGTGGTGACAACAAGCGTAGGAATGTGTGACATTGACATACGACCAGTGAGTATCCGAAACAGGAATTTCAGGGGTTTGTTGTGGTTGCTAGAATGATATAGTCTGTTTAACATTGCTTTACCGTCAGCAACTAATATATATTTGATGTTTCTCTAAGGGTCTGTATGGCAGTGTGGTAGTGACGGGAGGAAACACGCTTATTCAAGGCTTCACAGATCGACTGAACAGAGAACTTTCCCAGAAAACCCCTCCGGTGAGAAATGACGTCAATATTCCTCTGAATGCAATCACTCGGGTTACATGACATCATTTCAAAGTGAAAACAAGAAGATGTGTGTCAGTTCAGTTTTGAATTTGCAGATCTGTTTTTTTTAAGGAGCACCAACATACTTGTTGTGAAAGTTGGACATGTTTTTAATTTGCAGAGTATGAGGCTGAAGCTGATTGCCAACAACACTACGGTGGAGCGTCGCTTCAGTGCGTGGATAGGAGGCTCAATCCTGGCATCGCTGGTAAGAGCAAATAAGAATAAATTCATTAAATTTTGTTCTTTTAAAGGTGTGGCTCACTGAAGAAAACATTTTAATTGATTATTTCTGTTTTTAATCTGTCACTGAGTTTTTCATGCAGGCTGAACATGAAAATAGTCTCTTACACCTATCGCCTGCATTAGCTTCTGATTAGGGCTGTCGCGGTTGAGGAATTCCCCCTGCGGTGATTCAGGGTGGCTTAATATTGCGGTGTGCGATATTATTGCAGCACTTTTTTTTATTGCAGTACTATCTAAACATAATGTTTACACATTTAAAAAAGGTTAAAAATTGCCATGCCTTCTTTTATAACGCTTTACTGAATGCAGATCAAAGGGCACTAACAACACAGATCGCAGTAACGTTTGTTTCTCCGACAGTCGGAGTCCGACTGAACTTAAAAACAACAAAATTCAGGAGAAGGTTAAACTTTTAAATGCAAATTTGGCTGCAGCATCTAACAAAGAAGAATCAAGTCCCCATTTTGTTTAGTTGTTTAAAATCAAGCATAAAAAATTACATGTACCGGGCGCGGGGCACTATCATTTCACTTTCACTTTCACACACACGAATGACGGTGATTTATAGCTCGGTCACGTCCTTGCTACCCACAAGGAAAACCAGCATGTTAACCATATATGGTTTGAGAGAGGATCTGAGAGGGGTGGCAACATTTCCAGCAACACTGAAAACCCTCTCGGATGGTGCGCTCGTTGCACTAACGCACATGTACTTGCGTGCGACTGGCGAGCAAAGGGAATCTCTCCCGGTTGTTGCTCCACCATGTCAGGGGGGTTTCTTTAGGGTGGATGCATTCCTCCTGCAGGTAGCGAGTGAGCTCCAGCTCGGCTCAAACTCTCTTCGGGACGGTTGCAGAAGCAGTGCTTGTCCGGGACTTCAGCAGGTCTCCGAGCGTTTATTAGGGTTCCAAGCCCAAAGGGCAGGGAACCCTATTGTTTTTCTACGGATTTTTCATTATTTATTATTTATTATTTATTATTTATTATTATTCTTCTCCGCTAAAACTATATGGGCGCAAGAGCCTGAAATTGTCAGGGAAAATCTGACATGGCAGTCTGATAGAAAATCCTGACCGCTACTCAGATTCAAAAATTTGGACCCCGCGTCACCTAGGTGGCGCTATTGCGGAGGTCAACACGTTTCAGCTACTAGCTCCCAAACCGTAGGTCCTACAGTCAAAAACTTTATATGTACATGATCCTTGGATGATTCCCCATCTTTTTTGTATTGGCCACGCCCATTTCCGCCTAACTAGATTTTTTGCTAGATCGCAAAAAATGCAAAGCTTAGTTTTAATCACCTATTCGTCATTTTTCGTCGAATCAACTTCAAACTTCGTACATATGATCTATGGACTAAGATAAGTTGTTGTGATGCAGAAAAACGCAGAAATATTGAAAATTGGGCTAATGACACCATGTCAAAATCAGTGCGCTAGCTAGCACATGTGCTAATTGATGATATCTTCACCATATCTCAAGATAAAGTGATGAGACTCTAGACCCTTATGAAGTATGAGCGGTAAGCCCTACATTCCCCATTTTGTTTGGATTCACCAAAAGGGGGCGCTAAAGAGTCAAAAAGTTAGTTTGAGCTAAACGGCTTGATGGATTTCCACAGAACTTGGCACATATGTTAATCATTGGACCCTTAAGCTATATTTTGAAAATGATTAAAAAGTGGGCGTGGCTTATAGGCTTTAAAATTTTTTGCCCTTTAACTGATGAAAAATACATATTCTATACAGAAAGTTACAAATTATATCAGTCATAGTGACATCTACAATCACAGAAAAAAGTTTGAAGTTTGTCCAATAGTTGGCGCTGTTGTACCCCAAAAATGTTTTTGGCATTTTTCTCCTCAATATTTTAGTAAACAAGCAAATGGTCTCATCCAGTATGTTCATTGACTCAGTCAAATTAAGATGAGTATTTTAAAAAATGTTTTAAACTTATGCTAATTAGTAGAAATTTGCATAGTAAGTCAAACGTACTTTCGTTAACTCCTCCCGGCCGTCAAACCCAATCACATCACAACTTTGCCTGACAAGAGAGGAGGAGCGGCTGACCAAACGATCTGAAGGGATTTTGGATAATTTTCTTACTTTTTTAAATATGAATTTTTTAAATATTTTTTGGGGAATGAAAAAGTTTTTTTAGCATAACTTCAAAATATTTGGACATTTTTCAAAGCTGTTCATAACAGTCAAACCTAAGGTCAATTCAAGTGTATGTCTTGATTTTCACCTTGATTAAACAATAGGGGGCGCTATAAATAGCAATACATTATACTGCTGACCTGGTTAAATGGATCTGCACGAAACTTAGTGGTTGTCATCATTGTAGAGTCTTAAGACTACATTATCAATATGGTAATGATTGATCAATGTGGGCGTGGTTTATGATCATTTAAAATTTCAAATTTGAAAAATTTCCTAAAAATCATTATTTTCATGTAAGAAGCTACGTTTTCCAGATTATGTTAACTGGATAGCCATGAGCTTAGATATTGAAAACCGCAGCTCCACGAAGATATTTGCGCTTTAAATTTACAAAAATACATTTTTAGGCTAGCAATTGTAGCGCAAATTCTGTTTTCACAATCTTCTTGACATTTGCCATAAAGTTCACTCTTAGGTGGTTTATGAAACAAAAAAAAATGTCGTCTTGATTTGAGCCCCCCCTTGTGTTTAATTATAGGACATATTTTTGTCTACAGCAACTAACGCAAATATTATTTTATTGTAGGTACAATTTTACATTTATGACCCCAACAAAAATATAAAAAGAATTCTCACATCACAGAGGCAATCTCGGAATATTTTGAGATTTTTGTACGAAAGCATTGATTTTTAATGATTTTTTAACTTTTTGCCAGTTTTTCTGTATAGTTGGACAACAACGTAATTAATTTTTGTTAGAAAGTTTTTTAGGTATACAGTAAATATAAACCAATTACAACATTCAACATGTACCTATGGTGATCTGAGATTTTTCTATAAATTTTAGAAAGTAGCACTATTTTTTTATGAATATTTTAATTTTGACTGTGACCCTTACAGTTATATTTACTGATTTTTCTTCAAAAAAGCTTTGAGTCTACTGATTTAAAAACAACATCATATTATTCCACATGTCAACACTGCCATGTGAGAATATTTTGGTAATTTTATGATGAGTTATGTATTTTTCATGATTTTTTGAAACATTTGGTCAGTAAGTCACAAAATGAAACTCATTGTTTTTGTTGAAAATCAATTAAATCTAAAGACATTATCAAGTATTTATGTTGTTTGTAATATTCTGTTGATGTATAGATTATTGTTTGATAATCTCACTCATTAAATCTTCACGTTCTTTAATAAGGAAACAGTGGAATTCCATTGTAATCACGATTGAGAAGTCAGCCATGCCTCTGAAAGATGTGTATAGGATTTGCAGGTTTAATGACGTATCCTGAGTGTTACTTTCATTGCGCCGGTTGAAGTGAGCTGACGGGTCGCCGGCGGGAGAACGTGTTTTTGGGGCGGGACCGCGTGAGGACTGGCGAAGGTGAGGGCGGGGCCGGGTGGGCGACTGGCGCTGGGGGCTTGGAACCCGTTGATAACTGCTTGCAGTTCTAGTTTATTTTTGCCGCTGGTGGCAGCTCTGTCCCGGCCAAGGACTCTGGCTGCGCAGCAGCTGACGTACTGAAAACCAAAGCGCTCCCAAAGGAGCAAAGTAACGTTTCGTTTTGATACCAGTGCAGCCATCCTTCTCAACATGCATCATTGAGTTGAATCAAGTTCAGTAATCGCGGTGGCCCATGATGCAGCGCGGTGGGTTTCTTCATATTGCGATATTTCATTTTTGCGGTTACCGCGACAGCCCTACTTCTGATAGGAAATAGACAGTGAAACGCTAGGATTTGAAAAACCTGACGGATTTACTCACTGGTCACTTTATTGGGTACGCCTTGCTAGTACCAGGTTGGACCCGCTTTTGCCTTCAGAACTGCCTTAATCTTTCGTGGCATAGATTCAACAAGGTACTGGAAACATTCCTCAGAGATTTCTGTCCATATTGACATGATGGTATCATGCAGTTGCTGCAGATTTGTCAGCTGCACATCCATTATGAATCTCCTGTTCCACCACATCCCAAAGGTGCTTTATTGGATTGAGATCCAGTGACTGTGGAGGTCATTTGAGATTAGTGAACTCATTGACATGTTCAAGAAACCAATCAGAGATGGTTTGAGCTTTATGACACATTCTTCTGCTGGAAGTATCCATCAGAAGATGAGTACACTGTAGTCATGAAGGGATGGACATGTTAAGCAACAACACTCAGGTAGGCTGTGGTGTTGCAGCGATGATAAATTAGTACTAAGAGGTCCAAAGTGTGCCAAGAAAAGGTCGCCCACACCATTACACCACCACCTCCAGCCTGAACCGTTGATAAAAGGCAGGGTGGATCCATACTTTCATGTTGTTGATGATTCCAAATTCCAACACTTCCATCACCACCACCAATGTTGCAACAGAAATTGAGATCAGACCGGGCAATTTTGATGAGCCTTTGCTAATTGTAGCCTCAGTTTCCTGTTCTTAGCTGACAGGAGTGGCACCCAGTGGGATCTTCTGCTGCTGTAGCCCGTCTGCCTCAAGGTTAGACGTGTTGTACGTTCACCGATACTCTTCTGCATACCTTGGTAACGAGTGGTTAATTGAGTTAGTTGCCTTTAAGCCGGGCGTACACTGTGCGACTTTTTCACTTTTTTGAGCCGATTTTCCAGTCGTGCGAGAAGCCACGACATCGGGGCGAGTTTTGCGCCGAGCGGTCGTGTAGTGTACAGGGGATTACGAGAGGCGATTTACACCACGTGACCAGCCGCCGATCAGCAGTCGTGAGGTCGCAGGGACTTCTGGTGTGTTTAATATTTCGCTCGTCCCTCATGAGGGTATCGCACTGTTGAAGCGGCGCTGCGAGCAGCTACGATCCAAAAAGTATCAGAACCGCTCACGGCGCATGCGCGCGCAATCCTGCATCAACGCCGGCCGGCCGGTCGCTCGCTATTTCCCTAATAACACACGCTGTTCGTTTTTGTTTCTACACGTTTTTTTTACTCACAAAGATTGTCAAGAAAGCGTGTTTGTCGTGTTCATGTCAAATTAAACTGATCACAAAACACAGATTCACTTTCTTTATTTCGTTTTCCTCATTCAACCCCCATAAATCCCTGTGTGTCCTCCTGCAGCACTCCCGAAGGACAACAGGCAAGACAAAAAAGTCTGACGTGTTGAGTAAAAACTGCTATTTTTAGCACATTTTTAGGGCCGACGTGTTGCTACCAGACGTACAGTGTGAGCAGTCAGGTTGCATCCGAGAACTGGGTCGTACAGTGTGAGCACATGACTCGTGAGATCTGCTCTGCGAGGAAGTCGTACAGTTTGAGCTGAAGCTGAACGCTGCGAGTGAAAAAGTCGCACAGTGTACGCCCGGCTGTGGCCTACTGTCCGCCCCGAGGCTGGGAGATCGGGGTTCAAATCCCGGGTGGGTCATACCAAGGACTGAAAAAAAAAAAAGGAACCCAATGCCTTCCTGCTTGACACTCAGCTTAAAGGGGTTGGATTGGGGGTTAAACCACCATGGGGATGGGTCAAATGCAGAGGTGTAATTTCACCACTGTGTGATGATGACTATGGGACTGTAATTTTAACTTTTTATCAACTCAAACCAGTCTGGCCATTCTTCTCTGACATTGACGAGGCATTTTTGCTCACAGAACTGTCGCTCACTGGATGTTTTCTCTTTTTTGGACTATTCTCTGCAAGCCCTAGAGGTGGTTGTGTGTGACAATCCCAGAAGATCAGCAGTTTCTGAAATAGTCAGACCAGCCTGTTTGGCACCAACAACCATGCCACATTCAAAGTCACTTAAATCACCTTTCTTCATCATTCTGAAGCTCAGTTTGAACTGCAGCAGATCGTCTTGACCATGTCTACATGCCTAAGTACACCAAGTTGCCATCATGCGATTGGCTGATTAATAATTTGTTAAGCAATTGGACAGGCGTACCCAATGGAGTGGCAAGTTAGTGTATGTCACACTGTCAACATTCATAGACTCACCCATCTTGACTCGCAATGGGGAAGGCTGTTGTCAGTTTAGCATCCAGGAAACCGCAGAGAACATCTCGGCTAGCAGAAGCTAACTGTTAGCATTAGCAACTCCACAACAATGTGTGTTATCCAATCTGAGGTGAGATGTCCAAATATCAGGAAATAAAACTCCAAATCCTGTCATCTCCAGCTCAACTCTGATGTGGCTCACTTCTACTTCATGAAACGGACACATCTGAGCTTTTTTCCCCAGAGAACGACTTACAAGCAAGGCCGGATTAACCATATGGGCAACTGGGCAATTGCCCAGGGGTCCACAAACTCTAAAAGGGCCCAGGGCAGCAAAGGCACGAGCAAAATACTGTATCTGCAAACTCCCGCTTTATATTAAACTAGGGTGACCATATGTCCTCTTTTCCCCGGATGTCACGGCTGCCAGCCTGAAGAATGAAAAGCAGGAGCCAGGATCACCCAGCCCTAGTGACCAAGCCTGACGCCGCCCCTCCTCCTCCTCTCTCCCAGGCTGCTGAGGAGCACAGCTGAGCCGAATCTTGTTGATTACCAACACCTGTATAAAAAGGCTGTGCCTTCAGCAGTCTGGGAGGCAGCAGTGCAGGGGTTCTGCTGTCCTCCAGGTTTCGTTTGGTTTAACCCCTTTTTGTTCGTTCGTTCGTTCCTTCCTTCCTTCCTTCCTTCCTTCCTTCCTTCCTTCCTTCCTTCGTTCCTTCCTTCCTTCCTTCGTTCCTTCCTTCCTTCCTTCCTTCCTTCCTTCCTTCGTTCATTTGGATGAGTTTTACTTAAAAGTTTAAACTCTTGTATGATCCTGAGGGATCTTTTGGGTGCAGTTTGTATTTAAGGTTAACTTGGTTTGGTGCAATTTTACTGACTTTGGTTTTAAACACCTTCGTTGCGGTAAAGCTTTTAATATAAGTTTTTTTACCAGGTGTTTTAGTCAGTAGATTGTTTTAGACTTTTATCAACTTCGGGCTTTTAGAACACCTTCGTTTCGGTAAAACTTGTAATATAAGTTTTTACCAGGTGTTTTATAGTTGATAATTTGTGATGTTAACCTTTTAGAGAGATCTGTTTGCTCGTTTTTAGAAACTTTTTCAACAATAAAACCATTTTAATATCCACTGTCCAGTTCTTATGTTATCCCCATCCTTCACATTTTACCAACACATGTCGGGGATGTAACATCGGACATGTCCACTTTTCATTCTTTGTCCAGGGGGGTTTCTTGTATTGATGAAAATGTCAGTTTTTTTCATCCAGGAGCAGGGATCGAATTATGGGGGAGCTGAATATCCTACACATCCAGGGAGAGCCGGAAAATGTTTCTACCTATATTACATCATTCATGGACTCTCAGAGTACCAGGGGTTCTTTGAGCGGAGAGCACAGAGAACGGCAGAGCGCCGTTTGTTGGTGCGCTCCAGGCTGCTGCATCCAGCGCACTGTCCATTCTCAAAGTGGTGCAACCAAAAAACTATTATTAACACACGATCGTTCATGTCCGCACATGTTCTCTACTTTCTGTCTTATTTGTGCCTGACGCGCTCTGCTACTGCGGAGCTCATCGCATGCTCTGCGGTGATTTCACCTCACTGATGCAGCAACGAAACGCGCTCTCCGCTTTGCAGTCAGGAGATCCCTTTGATCTGCTCAAAAGTAACTGATGAGGCAAAAAAGTAAGAATCCAGGCAGCAGATTTTCTGGAGAGTTTAGAGGAGATGCAGGAAGATGAGAGACAGACAGGACAGGAAATAGTTAAATAAAAACAAGAAAACAAAACAAAGTGTTGAAAGTAAAATGTAGGTAGATTTATCTCCACTACACGTTTTTACCAGTATAAAACAATAAGTTATACACATGTCATATTTATACATCTGATACAGTTCAGATCACCTTCAAAACTCAGTCACACACCCAGGGCCGTTTCAAGGCATTTTGGGGGTCAAGGCTAAACAACACCCCCCACCCCTCTGTGTAATCCATACCCTCTCCAGTAGTGTTAGTTATACAGTGTTTATAAAAGCCCCTCAGACATTACTGACATGTTCTAATATTATCAGATGAAAAACTAAATGATCAGACATGCTGTCTCATCTGCTTCTTTTCTAAACTTGCTAAAAGTAACAAAACCATTTGAAAGCCACTATTTGTGGATTCTCCGAAAGTTTCCATGGAGTGTGTGACAACTTATTTTTTCATTGATCCTATCGTCTAATCTGACAGTTGAAACAAGCATCCTTAATAATCTGTGCACAAGAAGTGTACCGATGCTGTAGTAAAACAAAAGGTATAATAATTTATTATTAATAAAACATTGTTGCAGCACTAAAGCAGAAAAATGAGATTTTGCAATAAATATGCAAAATTTTTACATGTGAATTGTTTCAGAGCCATTTTACTGGCAGAAGCTGATATTAATTTTAGTTCTTACAAAAAAATGGGTCCCAACGTGGTTTGTGTGGCGTTGCCATAGTGTGACTTCATAGGCACAGATCCCCTGTCCTCTTTTTTGGAAATGGAAATATGGTCACCCTATATTCAACAAACTGTCCACCCGGGCTTTTGCGCTGCACAGAGACGCTTCGCTGCCTATGACTTTGAACGTCAGTTGAGAGTCAGTCTCGTGCAGACTGACCAATGAAGAGAAGGCCTCAAGTTAAGACCCTCTCCTTATTGGTCAGTCCACACGAGGTGGGTCAAAGGTTACCCTGAGCGGATTACGTGACGTCAGGCATTCAAGTATTGAGCATATTTATTATAGTAAAATATTCTGTATGTGACCATATTATGGTGATCCTTGGGTCGTGATTATGGGGCCCTTTAATATTGTTGCCCAGGGTACAACAAAGTGTTAATCTGGCCCTGCTTACAAGGCATTTATTCCCACTAGAGACCGCTGCAAATGTATTAACAAGTGAACCACATCTTTAAAATTATCCGCACTTTTATAGTGCCTCTCAGAGTAAGGACTCCAAAGCGCCTCACACACACATTCACACACTGATGGTGATGAGCTATGTACCTACAGCTGCCCTGGGGCGCACTGACAGAGGTGAGGCTGCCGAGCACAGGCGCCACCAGTCCCTCCGACCACCACTAGCAGGCTAGGTGGGTTAAGCGTCTTGCCCAAGGACACAACAGAATTCTCTGTCCGGAGCCGGGATCGCACCTGCAACCTTCCTGTGATGGATAGTAGTAGTCTTGGATCACGTGGTGTCCATCGATTATTATTTACATGTTGCGCACCTGCACGGGAAGGCTGTTATAATGAGCAGGTGATAGGGGAAGTCAACTTTTGCTGACCGCTCAAATGATTTTTTTCCATGAATTATTCACTCTACTTTGTGGATCTGTATGTTTCTCTGGTTGTGTGTGCCTGTGAACGCCGATTGAAAGAAATATTTTGAACAACCAATAAAGTTGCTTTGATCTAACCTGGACTGGAATGCTCTGAGGGTGCGCCAGCACATCCCCTAATTAGCTGCTCGGCGACCCAATGGTTACACTCGCCAACTCTTCAGATTACTGGACAGCCCGCTCAACCTGTTGAGCTACTGCTGCCCCATTGAATAAATGTGTGCCTGGTACAATTGTAAACATTTTCTGAATGTTGACAGCATGTGTTCTCTTTTTTTCTCCAGGGAACTTTCCAGCAGATGTGGATCTCCAAACAAGAATATGAGGAAGGAGGAAAGCAGTGTGTGGACAGGAAGTGTCCATGATTTAACATCAAGCCTCATCACCTTTGCCACAGCTTCGACATCACACGATGTTCACCTCAGACCCAGACTCAGGAACGCTCGGCTCTTATTTTGTATTAGTTTTAAAAACTGAGCCGATCTGTACACCTGTCTGGAATTTACCGTAGAAAAATGAAACGTCAAAACTTCGTTCCTTGTTTGTCTAAAATGTGTTGCCTTATCAGTCATCGATGAAACATTACAGTCAAACATCGTGTTACTGTGGGGTGATGTCACAAATCTATTGTAGAGGATTTCAGCAGCTTACTGACAAGCTAAAGTGCATGATGAAGGTCAGTATTTGGAGTAAACGTGAACATCTGATCATTGCTTTTTCTGTGTAGCTGGTAGATCATCATAGGCAGAGGCATCTCGGTTAACGCCTCTGTTTTTCTTAATGTGGGAACTAAAATGAATATTTAATTTTTACATGTCATTGACAATATCTTAAAAATAAACTAATCTTTGTTAAGTTCACAAGTGTTAAGTGTTATAATTTTAGGACTATATACACACACAAATGCTCATTTTAACAGAAGTTTCTTGTGTCAAAAGGTTAAAAATAGTTGATGTGAAACTGAATAAAAACAGAGCACAAGTCAGGTTGGTATAACTGTTTATCTTGTAAGACCAGCTGAACAAATCCTCTCAAGAATCAGCAAAACACAAGAACTGATGTACATGGTTGAGCGGTACAAAAACATCATGCAGCAGGAACCTTCATATGAGGAAACCTCTCCTTTAACTTGGCCAAACTTTGCCTTTTCATCCTTTGTTCCCTGGATTTTTTTCGCATGTGTTTCTCGATGCGTAACCTGGAACAAAAAAAAAAAGTTGCTAGAGACCAGGTTCTATGGTTGCCACCTCCATTTCCAGATGTTCTGTGAGTCTTACCTTATATATGGTTGGACGAACGGGGGCGTGAAGAACTTCTTTCGCGTATATCTTCTGTTCATGTACCAGGGAATTGCGTACTCTCTGAATCGACGCCTAGAGAGGAAAACGTCCATGTGAGAGACTGAACTCAACTCTCACAGTTAAAATAATGTGATGATGTAACGTGAACTCAGAAAATAAACCCCATATCATAGTTGGATAGGTTGTGATACTTTAAACATTTCCATTCTGCTCTTGCTTCACATCAGTTTTGATTTACCAGTAGACATATCCAAATAGGGTTCTCCTCCAAGCTCCTGGTCGGCTCTTCTCCTGTCCTGTCTGCAAAAGACGCAACGCGGTCTCCCTTTCATTCACTACCGTCTCCAGCCTGGTCATTGACCTCTCAATCTGTAGGGATGCAACCAGAACTCAGATTTGGCCGAGTTCCTACTTCACCAACAAATCAAGCAAGCCAAGAACATCTAGGAGACAAAAAATGCATCACTGACCTTCCTGAGCCTTTCAGGACTCGGCATCTGGAGTCTTTGCCTTCTTGCTTCCTGCTCAAGGGTAAGCAGCATGTTTCTTTCTTTCAGCAGTACATACCTTAGACAGAAATTATTTGTTAGATAAGAGTCCTAAATGTATCTACAGAGATGCACCTTTCCACTGCTCACCAAAGTTTGTGTAAGTCCTCACTGTTCTTTGTTCTCAGCTGTTTGGCAGTCCATGGTGCTCCTATATTTAAATATTAATTAAAAAAATATATAGTCAAAGCATGACATTGCTAAGTTAGTAAAGTTCTTACTGAGACATTTTAATTAGGGGTAGACTGATATATTAAAGTCAGGCACATCTCCAGGCAGCCTGGTGCTGCTGCAGAATAACATGCTCTAAAATTTATTTTTGATTAAAATGTCTAATATACCAGTTTTGAATATTTAATACTTGGTCAGTTGATATGTTTGATTAAGTTTAGTTAGATGTCTGATTTTAACTGAGCAGTGCACAAAATAATGATTCAACAATTGGTTAAAATCTGTGTTTAAAAACTGATTTAGCTCAAGACATTTTGTGCACCAACTGATGTTTCTAGTGACAGTTTAGCACGCAAATAAGATGGAAAAGTCTAAATGTCGGTCATTAAAATGGCCCAAAGATCAGTAGCACATTTTGGCCATCGGCTGACCACGACTTCTACGCATTGGCATGAGTATCGACAATAGAAAAAACAATATCAGTCGACCTCTAATGTTAATAATCTTTTAAATAGGAGGACAATTTTCTTTTAGTTCAAGAACAAACGTCCAATTGGACAAACATTGTTTTACCTGACTTCACAGTGGACTCTCCCCAGTTCTCAGGGAGGTCAAAGAACTCCTCCAGTCCTCTCCTGCTGATGGTTGTGTGAACAGCTCGGTATTGACCCACTAAGCTGATAGAAAGGCTCCACGATGAGGCAACCAGAGAGGACTTTTCACTAACAAAACACAAAAGACTCACTGAATTTGTGCATTCACACAGAACATTTTTTTTATTAACTTGGAATCGAATGGGTGTATATTATTGACAGACTAGTGTCACTGCTGCCAGGATGAGTAAGAACAGAAACCACAAATAAAATCTCGTACACCTCCATGGGCACTTTTAAAAATAAGAACGGTCATTTAAAAATATTTAAAAACCACAGATTCGTTTCCAAAGACGAGGTTTTCACGAGATTCACCGTCAGAGGGGGCAGAGAAGGACGACTGTGGTCTGAAAACCAACGGTTCTGTATTAAGGTAATAAAATGAAGCACCTTGAAGTCTGCAAGACCTTCTTACCTGAAATGACTGCTCTGATACCTTGTCAAATTTTGAGCACAATGCTGAACCTTTACTGCAGAAGATATCCTGAAGACGTTTTGAAATTGCTTGCAGAGAGTCAAAATGCGTCCCGAGAATAAGGACACCGCCATCTTTGATGTGTTATTTCCGGTATTACCCAAAATGCACTTCTCTGGAGTCGCTTTTAATATTATAATATTCCTAAAATACATTATTTAAATTTTTATTTCCATCAAAATAAATTTAAATATTTGGATACATATTAAATTAAATATCTAAAAAAATTCAAGCATAAAGATAGTTCGTATTTGGCGTTTTACTTCGTTCGACCAATCACAGGGCGGGTTGTTGGACTGTCCTCTCAAAGCAGCAGCGATGGTGGGTATGAGCGTCCTGAGGTCTGCTGCTGCTTTCGCAGCCAGACTGAAGCCATTGAATGCTGGAAATAATGCGGCGAATTTGCTCACTCGAACAATCCCCCGAACAGATAAAGGTAAGTAACTGTCTGCTGGTTTAAAATGTTTAGGATTTAGGTCCAAAAGTGACTGCATTCACTATGACCTTGCTTTGGGACTTGTTAGCTTTACTTGCTAACATCAGCTAATCATAGTCCCACTGTCAACAAAAAGCAAACCGATTTAAAAAGGCACCAGTGTGGCAACTGCCGCCACTACTAGACTGAAGAAAGAACTCGAAGGACCCCATCACAACGTTTTTTATTATTTGAGTTTGTTTTATATTTGAAGTTCAATAAATATTAAGAGTTTTATTGACTTATTTAATTTATATTGCACACAGTGAGTGTTCAGTTGTCTTTCACAATCAATCGTTCTTGATTATGCCGGGCTTGATAATGGTTATGCTTTGACTGCATTTACTATAATGCAGCTGGTATTTTTGGAGGAAAGAGGTATTTTCCTAATTTCGAAACACCCAATGGTCCCCATAATTAAAATACATTTATATTTGATGTTAAATGAACGTGTGGCTTTATAAAACCTGTACATATTGCTAGCTACATGGTCCTAACAATAACAGCAACAACAAATACCCATGTTTTATTATTTTCAAATCTTGTATTTTACAGTCACTATTCGTTGGGGTCATGGAAAGAAAATGTTTACCATCAAACCCACCAGCTACTATGACAGGAGGTTTCTGCACTTACTGGTAAGTATTTTAACACAATTTAATTCACTGGCATCAATTACTTCCCCCAATCCAAAGCATAAGCAGTGTTTATCTAAACAGCAGCACAATACACTACAGTAAATCTGCATAGCCCTTCTTGTTGCTCAAAAATTGTGAGACACATTTTCTCTTAATACTTAAATGTAACCAGTTGTTTCCCCAAAATATTTTTAGTTTTAAAAATGGTGCAAAGACTTTAGATTGACCTAGATGTAACTGTTCATTTCCTGTTGATTCTTGTAGCGATTTTACGTCCTGCTGACTGGAATTCCAGTAGCCATAATTGTCACAGCTGTGAATCTCTTCATTGGTAAGTACTCATGTGTCTTTTCTTGGAATATTTTGTTAATTTGGGATGCAAAAAACCCGAAATAACTCTACATTTCATTGTGTTACAAGGTGAGGCAGAGCTTGTTGAGATTCCTGAAGGCTACGAACCTGAACACTGGGAGTACTACAAGGTGTGTAGTTTTTATTTCGTTGTTTTTTCTTTGATTTGTTGCGTCTTTGCTTTGATTCCTGTCTATTCATAGTTATTTATTAGAAGATTGTGCCCCACACTGAAATCTGTGATTATTTAAAATAAATACATCTAGTACTTGAACACTTTAGTAGAGACTCACTATTCATATAAAAAAAATGCCCTTAAATAAAGCAATTGAGGTAGTTGTGCTTATGTTTGTTTATTTTAATAGATGCTTTTATCCAAACAACTTAAAGTTTTCAACCTACTGTAACATGCATGCATTGTGGTTGAACACAGATACATTATGCATTATTTTCCTGATCATTTTATTACAGCACCCCATCACCAGGTGGATTGTACGATACTTGAAAGACACCCCAGTGAAAGACTATGAGAAAATGTTGGCTGTAGTGCAAATAGAGAAAGAAAAAGCAGACATGAGGTGAGAAGAACCATTATTTCTGTCATTAACAGGCTAGGACCAGAATTTTATAATAATGATGCTATCAATCTCAATTATTAGAGGCAATATTTTAAAGCTTAAAGAAACTATCATGCTATTTTACATCTTTCAGAGCGATGATTGACCCATATAAATGGCCTGTATTTGATATTTAATTGGTATCAAATATTACCGTTGGCACTATGGAGATGTAATTTATTCTGGAATATATGTTATTTTCTTGAGACTTTATATCATTCTGGAAAAAAGATGCTTTGATTGGAATTGGACTCTAGAACCCTACAACACACACACACACACACACACACACACACACACACACACACACACACACACACACACACACACACACACACACACACACACACACACACACACACACACACACACACACACACACACACACACACACACACACACACACACACACACACACAAGGGCTGTTAATCCCTACCGCTGAAGCTGATTCGTCTCGATATGCTGCAGTGATACGATACATTAACAATACGGTGAAACCTTCTGCCGATACTATTCGATATGATTCTTCCTTGCTGGTGATTCATTATTGATTTGACGATTTTCGATTTGATAAAATTCATGATGCCATTTGAAACAATTCAACACATGGCAAATAATTTACAAGCCCATATTTGATTTTATTGAATATTTCCTGCAAAATATTTTGTCTCTAACGTTTTTTGAATTTGGTCATTTTAAAGCAGCATTTAGTTAATTTACTCTGCTCACCTCACATGAACTCACACTGGCTAAATAAACAAAGAAAGTTAAAATAAAACGATTAGTCCATTATATTTTAAACAGTCACCTTATCTTGGTCATCTGGGAGGGGCTCAGAATAGATTTGCTGTTCTTCCACATCGAGAGGAGCCAGTTGAGGTGGCTCGGGCATCTGATTAGGATGCCCCCTGGACACCTCCCTGCTTAGGTTTGCCAGGCACGTCCAACCGGAAAACGACCTAAAGGAAGACACAGGACTCCTTGGAGGGACTATGTCCCTTTCCTGGCCAGGGAATGCCTTGGGATTCCCCCGGAAGAGCTGGCCGAAGTGGCTGGGGGTAGGGAAGTCTGGGCCTCTCGACTTAGGCTGCTGCCCCCGTGACCCAACTCCGGATATGCGGAAGAGAATGGCTGGATGGATGGATTTTAAACAGTTTACCTATTAAGGGTTAAAAACATAATACTGGCAAGTGTAGCTAAAAAAGATCATTTCACTTTCACACACATGAATGACGGTGATTTATAGCTCGGTCACGTCCTTGTTACCCACAAGGAAAACCAGCATGATTACTATATACGGTTTGAGAGAGGATCTGAGAGGGGTGGCAACATTTGCAGCAACATTGAAAACCCTCTCGGATGGTGCGCTCGTTGTACTAACGCACACGTACTTGCGTGCGACTCTGGCGAGCAAAGGGAATCTCTCCCGGTTGTTGCTCCACCATGTCAGGGTCTTTAGGGTGGATGCATTCCTCCTGCAGGTAGCGAGTGAGCTCCAGCTCGGCTCAAACTCTCTTCAGGACGGTTGCAGAAGCAGTGCTTGTCCGGGACTTCAGCAGGTCTCCGAGCGTTTATTTATTTATTTTTTTGCTGCTGGTGGCAGCTCTGTCTCGGCCAAGGACTCTGGCTGCGCAGCAGCTGACGTACTGAAAACCAAAGTGCTCCCAAAGGAGCGAAGTAACGTTTCGTTTTGATACCAGTGCAGCCATCCTTCTCAACATGCATCATTGAGTTGAACCAAGTTCAGTAATCGCGGTGGCCCATGATGCAGCGCGGTGGGTTTCTTCATATTGCGATATTTCATTTTTACGGTTACCGCGACAGCCCTAGTGACCGGGAGGCAAACCTGTGCAAAATTTCATGCCAGCCCAGCACTCTAACCACTGAACTACCAAGTCTGTTACAAAACAATAGTTGCCTAACACATTCCTGAGTTGGCCATGCGTGCATCTGTGTAGACAGAACGCATGTTTTTATGGCGGTGTTTTTTCCCCAATGCAAAAGTCATTTGTCAGAATATCCAGGTTTCAGAACCAAGACCAGACCAGGTTCAGGGGGAGGAGAATTGCCTCATGACACAAGTGGGCTACTTTCTCCTGGATACACGAAAAAACTTTACATCAACCAAATTGAAGCTGAAGCAGAAAAATGCATGAATGCAGCCAAAGATCATGTTTGTGAACTACTGTTTGACTTCAACAGACTGGCTGAGATGGAGGTGCGTCGTCACATGAGAATTAGGGGAGACGGTCCCTGGTTCCATTATCCCACCATTGACAAGGAGCTCATCGACCACAGCCCCAAGTCGTCACCTGACAATTAATGAAGATGTCATCAGTTCTACTCTTTGTAAATTTGCCCTCGCTTCCATAAATAAAGTATCTATGTGGTCTAACGTTTAGTTTGAAAGCTTGTTTACTGGTTTTAAATGGGGAAATGTTCACCTGGATAGGAGCAGCAGAATTTAAAACTGGTGTCTCGGGCATCTCTGGAGTTCTTGTGTGATTTACTGTTTAAATGGATTTTACATTTGTTGTCACACTAATTTAAACAATTGTAATTTAGATAAAGGGAACAGTGTAAATGTTTTTATAGTAAGGGGTTTTCACTCAAAAGTACACCTGTGTAGGTGTCAACTTGTCACCTAGTTTATTTTCAGTTGGCTGAAAAAGGACCCAGCCTGACTTGATGTAATTTGATAATGTGATACTTGGAAATGGTCATAAGAATAAACATTCAGGAGTTTGGGCTTACACAGATCACACCGCCAAGGAGAAAATATCCAAAGAGTTAGCTGTTTTAATTTAATCTTTGATTCTTGAAATTGGAATATCTAAAACTGGGTGAACAGACTGATTTTATATTTTATTTAGATCCAAATTTCCCCTGTGAACGTTCTTTCTACATAGGGTTTATACATTTTAAAGTGTAATGTGATTTATGAAAATCACATTCTAAGTGAAAATTCTCAACAGAATCAGAACTAAATAAAACGACATCATTTATTTAATTCACTTTAAAAATCCAAACATATTTAGGTGACAGCTGTCAGTTGGACAAATTAATTCATTCAGGTGTGATGGGACAAATCAGAATGCAAATCTTTGTTGTGTAAAATTATTTAATGTTTTAAAATATTAAGAAATCCAGCGGAATGCAGAGATATCAGTATTTTTAATCACTGAACAATGCAGTCTTTAAAAAATTGAAATGAGCTGGCATTTCATGAGTACAGGCAGAGGTGTGTCTAGGGAGTGACTTGGGGTAGCACATGTACTCCAGGTGCCACCCCACTGAGGTCCATGAAATTGATTTTATGCTGTTCACAAAGGCCTGGGGTTTAAAAACCCCAAAACATACCATACCATGTTTATTCATAAAGCACATTTAAAACAGCATGCCAGCTGACCAATGTGCTGTACAGTATTAATAAAATAAAAGACGAGATAAAAATTCAGATAAAAGTTTTTTTTAAAACAGTTGGTGGCAACACGTACCTTTAAGTATAGTTTATTTATATAGCACTTATCACAGACATGGAATCACAAAGTGCTTCTCATAGATCAAAACAAAGTCATAAAATCATAATGATTTCAAAACAGAAATAGATTAACATAAAAAATGAAGTCATAAATTGTAAAATTT